AGTTACGTTTTGTTAGGTCTCTGGTTACGTGACCCATTCTGTACTGTTTTTCATATTGGTGCTTTGTATTTATGGATTTGAGGATGCTGGGTGTTAGCCAGGGACTGTTCAGTCTCTTAGCTGTCATCTGTTTAGTTTTTTAGGGCAGTGCTTGTTATAGAGGTATTGGGTCTTTTTTAGAAAATTATTAATACATTCGTCAATATCTGTATAGATTTCTAGCTCAGTGTGCCAGTCAATGTTTGTCACTGCTGTTGTGAAGTTATTAATGGCTGCCTCATTGTGAAGTCTGAAAGTGACTTTAGTAGTGTCTTGGGGTAATTTGCCTAGATTAGTTATGAGGAAGGTAGGGTAGTGGTATTTGTGATCATGTCTGATTTTAAAGGGGATATGGTGTTGGTCCAGATGTGATCTAGTAGGGAAACACTAGTCTCTGTAATTCTTGTAGGTTTTGTTACTGTTGGTAGCAACAAGCAGTTACTCAGTGTTTGTGAATTCAGTAACGTGTGGGTCCTGGTCTTGCAGGAGATTTATATTGAGAGTAGTAAGTGATCTTTATTCATGCGTGCATCAATTATCATACTTCCTAGGTTTTCACTAAAACGGCTAATGTTTGACTGTGGTACTCTGTAGATGTTTATCACTGTGAGAGGCTTTTGTATTTGAATTTAGCTATTATATATTCCTCATCCCTTGTGCAAGTATTAATGATACACTCTAGTTGGTCTGAATGGTATACAGCTGTGCCACCCCCTTGTTGATCTGGCCTACAGTTGTGTAACCAGGAATGCCAAAGACATCTGTAGTATCAGGTTTCAGTGAGTAATGATGGACATACTGGCAATTTAGTAATGCTATGAGGTCATCGTAATGTTTGCTTAAAGATCTGATATTGTAGTTGGCTCTGAGAAGTGCCTTTGATTGTTGTGCTGTGTAGTAATTACAGTTACTGTTTGATTCATTTAAGTCATTCAATAAGAGGTTGGTATCAGGATCAATGCTTGCAATTATAAGATTTATAGTTAGAGTTAAGTATAAGACAAATATTCTAAAGCTAAGAAATAGCACCTGAATTATTTTAACAAATGTAAAAATATGAGCTAAGGTAGTTTTTTAAAGCTAAAATAAAGGAGACAATATAAAAGGGACTAATATAAGTTGTGGTGAATAAATAAAGTGGTAATCAAATAAATGAGTTTGGGAATATAATGGCAAAATAGTGAACTTATTACACTTTAGCACCTGAGAATAGCACCTTGATTATTTTAACAACTGCAAATATATGAACTAAGGTAGTTGCATAAAGCTAAAATAAAGGAGAAAATATATAAGGGACTAAATTAAGTAATGGTAAACAAAGTTAAATGGACAGATAGTCACTATGATATAATATTGATTTGGGAGTAAGATATGATTTGTAATATATAATAAGTTGAGCAATTAATTGCACAAAAAATGTAAAAAAATATGAGGTAGTAGGTACTAGCTAACTAAAGATAGTTTTGGGACTCGCACAATAATGTAATTGGAATATACACTAATTGCACACACAATATAAAAGTAGTGGTAAACAAAATTAAATGGACAGGTAGCAACCTTATAGGTAGTAGGTTGGTAGACAGCTGCCGCCCAGGGAGGTACTACCGTCCTGCCAAGTGAGTGTAAAACGGAAACCTGTAATTATTTTAGATGATGGTGTCTTTTTTCTGTCTCATAAACATGCAAGATTTCAGGTCTGTCTTGCTACTTCTACTTAGGTCACACTACACAAGCATATATATATACACACCCCTCTGGCTTTTCTTCTATTTTCTTTCTAGTTCTTGTTTATTTCCTCTTATCTCCATGGGGAAGTGGAACAGAATTCTTCCTCCGTAAGCCATGCGTGTTGTAAGAGGCGACTAAAATGCCAGGAACAAGGGGCTAGTAACCCCTTCTCCTGTATATATTACTAAATGTAAAAGGAGAAACTTTCGTTTTTCCTTTTGGGCCACCCCGCCTTGGTGGGACACGGCCGGTGTGTTGAAAGAAAGAAAGGTAGCAACCATGAATAACATTAATTTGGAGTAAGATTTGACTTGCAACACAAAATTATGAGCAATTAAAAAGAAGTAAAAAAAAAAAAATGCACAATAATGTAATAGTAACTTACACTATATGCACCACACGTATTTGTGTGTTAAGGACACTTATCTAGTCTGTTACAGAAATGTCAGCTTTTCTAAGGAAGGTAGAGAAATCATGTTCATTTGAGATGGTATATTGTTGCCCTGTTGATGTTTTCCTTACTAGTATTTTCCCATCTAGAGTGCAACACTGATGTATTTTGTTTTAGTTTTCTCAACTTGAACAGGAGGTTTTGACGTTTTCTCATTAGACAATCATTGATGTACACTCCATTTTTCATTGTAATTGCTGATTTAAATTAAGTCCTTTCTTTTATCATATGAATGAAATCTGATCATAATACATACTGTGTTTACTACCTTGTTTTCCTAGCAAACGTGTTTCTTTGATCCTGATAGCAGTTTCTTTGCACTGTTCTTGGGTTATGTCACTAGGAATGTGTGGGCTGTTTATTATAACTGCATCTGACAACTTGTTCAGTTTTGGAAATCAAGGTATTCATTCAGTCGAGTGTGCATATTCTGATTCCAGTCCTTGATTGCTTCTTCAACCTTCATATTTAGGGTTGTTATTTGCTCAGTATGACTGGCTATAGCTGTTTTCAGAGTATTCTCTGTGTCAGCACTTCCCGATGTAATCTTCTCTTCAAGGTTTTGGATCTTGTTCTCGAGGCTGGTTATCTTGGATTCTCGTCGCGCAAGTGTTGCTTTAATATCTTTAATTTCGTTTTCTAGAGCGACGATGTAGTCCCTGATATTGTCAGGACCACAACACAAAGCACAGATCACTCTTTGATGTTCCTCGTGTCCATCTCACACTATATAAAAATGCAATGCACATAAAAGGCCCAATAAATTTTGACTGAAAAATATGGAATTCATTACCTATGAATATAAAAGAAACACTCTGTCTGTTTATCAAGTCAAGACTCTTCTTAAAAACCACAGCTAAATAAATACTGATTAACTGTGTCTCATAAATGTATAACCTGTGACCCTATCAAACTATGTTTTTTGTAATTACATTACCTAATAGAATACTCCATTCTCTTGAATGCTCAGTAACTCATCAAATGTGCTACAAATTTGTACAACTATAAAGCCTCTTATTTGAAATACCCATTTGTGCTTCATGTTGTAATTTGTTTACTGTATTTTTACCACTGAATACATCATTGCTTAGTTAATCTTAAGCCTGCCCACAATGCTCTGCATACAAGGGGCTTTTGAGATGTACACTCAACCACTGTATTTCTTTTGTACAACTATATATCATGTCCAAATAATAAATAAATATGAGATGTGGGAGCCAGACAACTTGTACAAGTGACAGCAAGAATGACGTTTTCTCTAGTCCAACATAAGAGAAAATGCGTTACTGGGGGTAACTGTAGAAAATTCCTTTCGTATGCCTTCACTCAGAATAAGTTAATTAGTTTATTCAGTTATACATAAATACAGTTACATAGAAGCATATGTGTAGAGAATCTAGGATAACCCAAAAAAGTCAGAGTGACTTATTTCCATTGGGGTCCTTTTACCTTATTATTATAATATAAAGGTTATAATATTTTCTTATTCTATAATGAAGATAACATCATCTTATCATACTAAAATGACTATCTACTACACAAGGGTCATTACTAGGAAATTGGTAAAATTTACACGTATGTTAGCTAAAAAATAGAAAATCATTCCCCTCCCTTTCTGTAGCTACATTCATTAGACACCTTTTGGCACTCTTCTTGAACTGGTCATTTCTTCTAAAAAATGGCGTTACACGAGAATGGGAGCGTTCCTCTTTATTCTTCCGTATCAATGTAGAGACAACTTGTACACAAACCAGACGTGTGACTTTGTAAATGGTCCAAGTCGGACTGAAACATCGCCGTAAGCTCCTATCTTCTATGTGCGGGTTATTTGTGTATCGTTCCAGTCACGGTATTGTGCCTTTTTTTGTTTACATAACTCCACGAGTGTCCTCTCTCTCATTTACTCACCTCTGACCCTACATTAAGACTATAAATATTTTAAGGTAAGTAATGAGTGAACTGTATATACATTTTATTGCTCTGGGATGCTTAAATGTTATATGTGGAGGCCTGGTATGATAGCCCAGCTGGCTACCATATATACCACACTTGATTTCTTACAATAAATACTACTTGTCTCACCCCTAGATTAAGACTACAAATATTTTAAGGTAAGTAATGAGTGTACTATATGTGTATTTTACTTTTTTATTGTCTAGTCCTACTGCTAACCCCAATGGAAATAAGTCACACTGACTTTTTTGGGTTATCCTAGGTACTTTACACATATGCAACTACATTTGTTTATATTTGAATAAACTTGCTAACTTAATATATGTTAGTGTAAACTTGTTATAAATGCATACAAATACTAGATAAGTGGAAAAAAAGAGGTGTTCCACTTTACGGCAGTAGCCTGGAACCTAACCTGCCATGTAAGTGGGGCCCTACATATTCTGTTGGATTGTCCTGTCTATCAACGAGCACGCAGAATTTTCCTGACGTCGTCACCGCTCTATTGCCCTTACTTTATTTTCCCTCCTTGCTGACGGATCTAACTTTACCTTTATTATCAACTCCAACTTGCATTAATTCCTACCCTGCAGCACTGTATGACCCTGGTAGGCTTGGCATTTCTTTTTGATTATAATAATAATGACAAAAGAGATTGCTTGGTTACAAGCCATCTGTGACAACAACAGTATATTTGTTTCCTTAGCAAACCAATTACAGAATTTTTGATAGGGCATATAACTATTAGTGCAGTACTCAGGAAAGATGGTGGTGACTGATGAAGCTTTATAAATATTTTGTATTTTATTTAATTTTTTCTTTGTTTTAGGAGAGCTCAGGTATGGCAAATGGATCTGCAGTACAAGCCTTCAACGAGTGTTTTGATATTGAAATGACTGCGAGGAACTTATTTAATGACCACAAAATGAATGCATCAACTAAAGCAGCTCCTAATGGTGGCATTAAAAATTCAATTTCTGTACCTGGAACTCCAGTCAGTGGCCACAGTCAGGTCAGTATGAAGCCAAGCTGCAGTTTCCAAAACTTACAGGATGTGCCAACATCAGTTAGCAGCATAAATGTCTACTCTGCACAGAAGGATGACAAACAGTTATTAGAAACTGGCAATATATCTTTTTCAAATAACTTGAGTTCAAGTTCTATTGAAGACAATGGGGATCAAAAAGTGGTTGGAAATGCAGATGTGTTGCCCAATATGAATAGTCATAAAAGTCTTGATTACAAACAGAGTAATCTTGACAATGAAGGTGTTTTAGCTCATAAACGCAAGCTATCATTTTCTTGAGATAGGGCTAAAGAATAGCTTAAACATTACTCAAACTTCCCATATTTAGTGAAGGTAATAAAATTTCAAAAGGAAGTGTTAATGATAGATGCTAATATTTTTTTTTTATAGATGACAGGAATTAGTAAACTTGTAGGGAAAAAATTGAAGAGGATAATATTGCAATAGCCAAGTACTGTATTTACATATATCCCTCAGATTAACAGTAATAAATTTAGCAATAATGAATAACTTGTTAAGTTTTAATAGTAATTTTTTTAAGACATGATTGAAAAAAATAACTGAAAAAAGATATGCAAGATCTAATCCTAGTAGCTGTAGCTTGAAAACAGTTATCATACTGTACTGTAAGTTACAACATATTAGATGCTGATAAGGGGATTTTTTTTATTAAATTTCCTGGTCAGGAAATTTAATTGTGATAATAGAATTTTATTAAAGAGCTGATAATTTCTTTTATAATTTTACTGTCTATACTATTCAATATCTCAGACTGTGCATGATGTACAAGTTTAGGTGCATTAATAGTGATTGATTGTGGGAATAAGACATTTAATCCAGGCAAATTTTGCTAGTTATGACTTCATCAAATCTAATATATTTATAGTGTATGTGCCTTATTCCCACAAACTGATGTCCAAAATCCAAATATTATGGATTATGTCCTTGGCGAACATCTATAGACTTCCAGTAATGAACAAATTAATTTACAAAATTCATACAAGACTTTTACATTGGCAAGTAATTTTTTTTTCCAGTAATGTGAGTACCATATATTTTGAATTGTTTTTGCCTTCATCTACATATAAAGACACTTATGTTTAAGCAAGCAAAAGACACTTTTTTTTTTTAGATTATCTCATTTTTATATTCAAATTTGTTTGTTCTCTTCCTGTGTGTGTATATGTATATAAAATATGAAAATGAATGTATTTTTTTAAGGAGACATTTAATTTAATGAATACTTAATCGGTAATGTGCACACAGGGATCTGACATTCAAAGTTAAAGACCTGAGAATTTACTTAAAGAGTATGTGATAAACATAGAAATTTATTATCTGGTATACTATTAAATTGTTTTATTTGTACACATGACACCACATGTATCATTAAAGTATGCCTGATATATATATTAGATGAGCCACAGTATTATGCTCTTGAATATACAGTAGGACCTCTTGCATCTAAAAGTTTCTTAAAGTTTACAAAAACACCCAAGTGAAAAATTAGTCACATTTTTTGTAGCTTTTCCTGATGCCCAGCACTTGTTTTATACAGAGCAGTAGGTAGCAAGATTAATTATAATTCTGGATAAGAGAGACCTTATTACTGTATATATATATATATATAATTAGGTTCATATACTGCTTATAATTTAATGCTTACATTACTTTAAGCATTTATATTCATGTACAGTTATTTAATAGTTAATTACTGTATCTCAAATCCTATTTTTACATTATTATTATATTCACACACACAAAAAAAAAAAAAAAAGTTTTACAAATATAAAAATTAAATTTTATTATGTTGAGAATTTATGTAAAAAAATGCTTTTGTCTATACTTCTGTTTTCCTCAAAACACAGATCCTTATAAAAGTATCAAAAAAAAAAAAAAATTGCCAATAGAAACATTGATACTAACAATGTCAAACATTACCATGCTTCATTCATAGATTGCTAACATTAAAATATGTTATTGTACAGACTACTGAATGTTATTTGTAAGCAATTTTCTAATCTATTTTTACCCTCCCATATTCAGCATCAAATAATAAGTTTATAGAAAATACAAGGCACCTTGAATATAGGTTAACAGTTTGAAGAAATAAAGCATTTTTGGGAAAAAACACATAAGTAGTATAATGTGATCCTCTATTAACAACGTTTTTGCCCACGCAGTCACAAACAGATCTACCTGGGTGAAAGGTATGCGAGTATTTATAGGATGGAGTCAGGTGGAGAATGCTGGGTAGGTTGGATTTGAACTTGCATGTGACAATCTTCCGAGTAGGGTGATAGAGGCTAGGACTTTGGGTAGCTTTAAAAAGAGATTGGACAAGTATATGAGTAGACCTTCTGCAGTGTTCCATTCTTATGTGGGATAACGATGAAGTTTCTTGGCAAAGGGCTCAGCTATGTTATAGAAGCTATTGTTTTGGTTGAAATTGTTGGATATACAGATAAGTGATGATTCCAGGATTCTGCGGTATTGTTTTTTTCTTTGGCAATGTCTTGCGTTTCTGTACTTGATTAAATAATTGTGTGAATTTCGGTGTTGAAAACAGACATTCCTTAACCCTTTGGGGTTGACAGGCCCTCTCCCAAACTTGTTCTCAGGGTCAAAAAAAAAATTATAGGCCCCCCCCCCCCCCCAAATTTTTTTTTGCGATCAATACTTAGGGAGATATGGAGGCATGAAGTTGACAAATTGAACCACTTACGGCAACATTGCCGACTGCCAGTCACCCGGTAATAATTTTTTTTTCTTTTATTTAATATTTTTTTTCAATAACTTTTATGGCCTCTGAGACCAATATAAAGACTATTTGGTATATATTCACTCATTGTATACTACACAATAACAGCAAAAAAAAAACTTTGCTGTCATTATATTGTTTACAAAACATGTTTACACAAACCAACAATAAAAAATGTTGTTTATTACTATTTTTCTATCATATATATACGCATATAGTCACTGGACAGGTTCCTGTAACTACAAGAGGGTCTGAAAGTTTGTAGTTGTGTGTGGGTGGACTTGTAAATATACTGAGTCACCTGTGTGTCTTGTGTCACAAAGATGCATCATACCATCACTCGCTAACCCTCACTGCCTTCCACAACACAACCCTTCCCCCCCCCACACACCTACCTTCCCTCCTTCCTTCCTTCTGGTTTCCTGGGCATTGCTTTTGGTCACACACTCCTCAAAACCATGAAATTCATCTTTACTGACACTTCCATCTGTGTTTGAACTGTCACCTGGGAACAAAAGAGCCCCAATTAGCCAAGGAAAGAGTTTCTTAGCACTAGACATGGTGAACAAGGCGAAATAAAATGGCTTTCCCAAAATGCACCACTGGGTCCTCGATTTTTTTTGTACCGCACACACTGACCCATTCTCTCCCATCTAAGCCTACCAGCCTTTGCCTGCTTGATTTGAGGACGGTAGAATTTATGTATACTAGTATGTCAATAACCCTGGTGCGTAAGATGTACTAGTACATCAAAAACTCAAAGGGTTAAATCACCCAATCTGTCTGCGTACTGGTATTCTGAAATACGTGTTTGGAGGTCTCTGGACGTTTCGCCCATGTATAATTTGCTGCAGTCATTACAAGGGATTATGTATACCCCTGCAGAGGATTGAAGCTTGTCCTCTCTATTACTGGTAATGCCCTTGATGGTGGTGGAAGTGGAGGTAGATACTTGGAATGAGGTATTGGAAACGTGTTTGGCAGTAGAGTTAGTGGGGAGGAATATGTATCTTCTCTCTGCAATGTCTTCTCTGGGTGTGTTAAAGATGTGATATGCCTGGTGTCTGCAGTCTCTAATGAAGTGCTGAGGATAGTGAAGTTTAGAAAATACAGTGGACCCCCGCTTTACGATCAGCTCCCAATGTGACCAATTATGTAAGTGCGTTTGTACGTGTATGTTTGGGGGTCTGAAATGGACTAATCTAGTTCACAATATTCCTTATGGGAACAAATTCGTTCAGCAATGGCACCTGAACATACTTCTGGAATGAAATAATATCGTAAACTGGGGGTCCATTGTACTAGTTCAATTAGCGAGCATTTTTCCTCAAGGAACTCATTGCTGCAGAATCGGAGTGGACGCAGGAAAAAAGTCTATAATTACACCACATTTAGTTTTGGTGTTGTGGTGAGAGTAGAAGTGGAAAAGATCATGGTGCAATTATAGGCAGTTTCCTGTGTGCACTCTGAATCTGCAGCAATGAGTTCCTTGGGGAAAAATGCTTGCTAATTGAACAAGCATTTTCTAAATTTCACTACCCTCAGCACTTCGTTAGAGACTGCAGTCACCGGACATATAACATCTTTAACACACCCAGATAAAACACACAGTCCTCCCCACCAACTCCATTGCCAAACACGTTTCCAGCATCTTTTCCAATACCTCCAAGTATCTACCTCCACTTCTACCACCATCAAGGACATTACTAGTAATAGACAGGACAAGCTTCAATCCTCTGCAGGGGTATACATAATCCCTTGTAATGACTGTAGCAAATTATACATTGGCAAAACATCCAGAGACCTCCAAACGCATTTCAGAACACCAGTATGCAGGCAGATCAGACATTTTAACCCTTTCAGGGTCCAGACCCAAAATTTGAGACTTGTCCATAGGATCCAAGAATTAAAAAAAAAAAAAAAAATATTTTTTCTTATGAAATGATAGAGAATCTTTTTCTGAAGGTAATAAAACAAAAAGTATGTAATTTAATGGAAAATTTACGAAATTATGCTCTCACAAACTTTGATGCGTCAGCAATATTTACGCATTGGCAATTTTGCCAACTTTGACTCCCATTCTAGGTCAATTACATTATTCTAGTTGATCAAATTCTTAGCCATTTCACTAGTATTACTTATATTTTATCAAATGAGCACAAGAAATCAAGTCAACTGTTTCAGCTACCCAATAAAGTGATCGGAAATTGGTAATTTAGCCAATTTAACACAAAGTTCAAAATAGGATCCAGAATAAACAATGCAGGCATTCCTGGCACTAAACTAACATTACGTTTTCAGGCTTTACAAATAAATTCCATTGTTTTTTTATTCACATAATGAATTTTTATTCAAAGCAAATAATGGAAGATTTACTGCTATGCAATACTGTAATAACTGTATAAGTAATATCACCACATTCATGAAACTATATTAGACCCACCAGCTGACGCATATTAGACACATGATGTCATTTGTTTATTCTTGAACATCGGCAAAAATTTAAAATTTTGGCTACTTTGAGCTCAGTTTCAACCCCTTGACTGTCACAATCCCCAATCCTGAGGTGTCTCCTGGTGTCGCAAAATTTAAAAAAAAAAAAAAGTTATTTTTTCGTATGAAATGATAGAGAATCTTTTCCCGATTGTAATGACACCAAAAAATCGAAATTTGATGGAAAACTGACTGAATTACGCTCTTGCAAATTTAGCGACCTCGGCGATATTTACGAATCGGCGATTTCGCCCACTTTGAGCCCTATTTTCAGCTAATTCCATTGTTCCAGTCAACCAAACTCATAGCTATTTCTTTAGAACTCAATTTTTTCTATCAATCGAGTACAAGAAACTGCCCATTTACCGATTTCAACTACCCAATAACTTGGTCAGAAATTTGCAATTTGGCCAATTTCACGAAAATTAAAAAAATATGACAATTTCAAAATAAGGTCCAGAATGAACAATGCAGACATTCCCAGCTCTAAATTAACATTTTCTTTGTTCATCAGTCACATCTCCAGGCCCCTCTGATATTACTCTTGCTTTCTATTTTGAATTTTTATTTAAACAAAAAATAGAAGATTTACTGTTATGCAGACTACTGCAATATTGTAATAATTGTACAAATAATGTCAACCCATTCATGACTGCATATTAGAATGGATAGTTAGACATTTATTGGACAATGACATCATTTGTTTATTTTTGAACATCGGCAAAAATCAAACATTTTCCCTACTTTGAGCTCCATTTCCAGGTTCTTTTTATAGTAAAACCAATCAAAATCACCTCTATTTCTATAATATGTTTTCCATTCTATCAAGTGAGACCAAGAAAACGAGAATAGAACCATAAATACTATACGAAAATAGACCACAAAGTCGGCATTTTAATTAAAAAAAAAAAAAGCCGGAGTTTTTTTTTTCTCATTATGCGCTGCATACTCCAGGATTTTTTTTATATGGTGCACACTGGCCACACAGACCTATTCTCTCACATGTAGCCCTACCAGCTTTCTCCTGCTTGATTTGAAGCCGCTAGAATTTACGAGTATATATACGTCAAACACTTTACCTCGTAAGACGTATATATACGACCAAAACAGTCAAAGGGTTAAAACCAATCAAAATCATCTCTATTTCTATTAATCTTTAATTCTATCAAATGAGACCAAGAAATCGCAAATACACCTATAAAAAACATACGAAAAAACACCGCAAATTCGCTGTTTTAATCCAAAATTACAGTCTCAGTTTTTTCTCATTATGCACTGTGTGCTGCAGGATTTGTTTTATGTGGTGCACATTTACAACACAGATGTATTCTCTCATATCTAGGCCCAAATTTACCGCTCACAGCTTATCTGAGTCGAGTAGAGTTCATGGCGTAGAATTACGGTTTGGACCCAGAACTCAAAGCCGTAGAACTATGGCACGGACCCTGAAAGGGTTAAGGAATGCCTCTGTTCAACACAAAAAGTCACACAACCATTTAATCAAGTACAGAAATGCAAGACTTATCGCCAGAGAAGATAACACTCAATATGCACCTTAGAATCCTGGAATCCTTTATCTGTATATCCAACAACTTCAACCAAAACAACGACTTCTATAATATAGCTGAACCCCTTGCCAAGAAAATTCATCGTTATCCCACAAAAGAACATAAGACTGGAGGAACACTGCAGAAGTTCTACTCATATACTTGTCCAATCTCTTTTTAAAGCTACCCAAAGTCCTAGTCTCTATCACATTACTCGGAAGATTGTCACATGCAGGTTCAGATCCTACCTACCCAGCATTCTCCACCTGACCCTACCCTATAAATACTCATGTACCTTTCACCAAGGTAGATCTGTTTGTGACTTGATAAGCCCACTGTGTGGGCAAAACATTGCCAATAAAGGATCACAATACTACTTATGTGTTTATTTTTCCATTGTGTCGGTATTTTATACCATTTACTTCCGTCTAAAGCATTTTTAAATTCTGTAGTCAAATATTTTTTGCCCAGATTTGATTCTCCAGGGAAATAGGGGGGTTGGGGAGAGGATGGAGTGACAAAAGAGTAAAATGTATATACTGTATATGTGCATGTCATTTTTTAGGTAAAATTGCCAAACAAGCCAAATTTAATAAAAAAAGTTAACATTGATAGTTGTGTGAATTAATATAGCAAAATACGCAACTTTTTATGTAACTAATTTGGCAACCAAGCCTTAATAAAATTTATATAATCAGTTTAGTATAATTCTGCCTCACATATGTCAGGTTAACTTTAATATTAACCCTTTGATGGTTTCGGTCGTACTAGTACGGCGTACGACCCAGGGTTTTTGACGTACTAGTACACCTAAATTCTAGCGCCCTCAAATCTAGTGGGAGAAAGCTGGTAGGCCTACATATGAAAGAATGGGTCTATGTGGTCAGTGTGCACAGTATAAAAAAAATCCTGCAGCACACAGTGCATAATGAGAAAAAAAAAACTGACCGTTTTTTTGGAATAAAACGGCGACTTTGCACTGTATTTTCGTATATTATTTATTGTTATATTCTAGTTTTCTTGGTCTCATTGTATAGAATGGAAGACATATTACAGAAATTGAGATGATTTTGACTGGTTTTACAATGAAAAGTACCTTGAAATTAAGCTCAAAGTAGCAGAAATGTTCGATTTTTACCAAAGTTCAAAAGTAAACAAATCATGCCAAGCGTCCAATACACGTCAACTGGTGAGTCTAATATTCTTTTGCAAGTGCGCCAATATTATTTATACCATTTTTTACACTAATGCAGTAGTCTGCATAACAGTAAATCTTCTATTTTTTGTGAGAAAGCAAAAGAATGTAAGAAGGGCCTTGAGACGTGACTAATGAACAAAGGAAATGTCATTTTAGTGCCAGGAATGTCTTTCTTGTTTATTCTGGACCCTATTTGGAAATTGGCATCTTTTGAAATTTGTGTGAAATTGGCAAAATTGCTAAATTCTGACCACTGTACTGGATAGTTGAAATTGGTAAATGGGTGGTTTCTTGAGCTCATTCGATAGAAAAAAATGGAGTTCTAGTGAAATATTCATGTTTTTTGTCGACTAGTACAGTGGAATTGGCCGAAAATGGGGCTCAAAGTGGGCAAAATCACTGATGCATAAACATCGCCGAGACCGCTAACTTCGCGAGAGCATAATTCCTTAAGTTTTCCATCAAATTTCATAATTTTGGTGTCATTATGATCGGGAAAAGATTCTCTATCTTTTCATAAGAATTTTTTTTTTTTTTTTTTTTAAATTTGGCTGACCCTGAGAACGAGTCTCGGAGAGGGCCTGTCGACCCTCAAAGGGCTAAGTGCCTCCCATTTCTCAGGCACTGTTTGAACCCTACAATTTAACATTTCCAGCTAAAGTATAATATTTAAGCAAATATCTTGGTTCACTTTCTGGAAAAAAACAGCTAAGTACTATATCGTACTCCTGGGGATTTAGAACCACTGGTGTATACTTCAGTAGCATGCAAGTATGACTGGGAGCTGACTTGACCAGAGCTCAGTGTTATGTTTCTTAAAATCAGTGTGTCATTTAGAGCCACCTAATTTGTAGAACTCATGGGAAAGTGTTATGCCTATTAAACTCCAAAAATTAATAAATAAAAATATCACAAAATGTGAAAAACTGCAAATATATCTTACCTTATGTTCTTTTAGTCATTACCTGTGTCAAGATAGAGCCCATGGGCTCGTGCATTGTGATCAACTGCTCTGCACAGAAGTTTGAGAGATTCTGCTAAGCCGTCTGCACTCCTCTGGTCCTTAACAACTGACTTCTAGAAGACTTACCCATACATTTTCCCTAATTTTATTAAGCAAGGAAACATTGCCTTACCTAGTTACTAAGATGCTGATTAATCTCTGATTACTTAGTAAGAATGTCTTAGCAGCCTGCTTCAGTGACAACAAACTACTAAAACTTCGTTACTTAAACACTCATTCGCTCTTTATCAGTCACATTTTAAACCTTTGCCAAAAAAAAAAAGCTTGAGTAGATACACAACTGTTAAAGGCACAGGAATGTGCAATTATGATGTTTGATACTGGTTAGCAATTCTAGTATCCTATGAACTTATTTATTCTTGGTATCAATGTAATGAATATTTTTTAAACTATGCAAGTGTTTTATATAAATTCAGCTTTCAAAAGTTCTGTAAATGTGAGGAAACATTAATAAGTTTATAATAATTCTGTGTATTGGACATTACTTGCCAGGAAAGATCACTGCTTTGGGCAGTGGAGCAAACTGCAATAATCTACAGAGGGCATCACACAAATTTCATGCAATACTTTTTCAATTTACAGTGCATGATATAATCTTTTTTCTTCCAATATTTGTTTCACTACAGTATTTCTATCTCATTATAAAAATCTTGTACAGTCTAATTGTATTCTAATTAATGTAGTATACTGCACTTAAGAAAGAGAGAGCATAAACAGAAATAGAGATGATTTTGGTTGGTTTCATGCCACTACCTGTGCAGTGCCTTACCCACAGCATGAAGCAAACTATTCTGTGCAAAAGCTACAGGAACAGGCAGGTATAACAGGATAGGCTTAAGTTCAAGACTGAAATCTGAAACTTCAAGCAAAAAAAGTGAGAAAGGGCAAACCTGAATTACAGAGATTTCCGAAGATGGGAGAGAGAAGTAAAATACAAGTTACTATAAAGAGGTAAATTAAGTGATGTTACAACAGCCTGAATATTAAAATTAAATAGATATAATAAGTGGAGACAGTGATTAGAGATATTAGCTTTATGAATGTTTGTAGTTATCCTATACAGTCTGTCCTCACTTAACACTTTCAGGGTCCAGAGGCCAAATTTCAAAGTGTGCACAAGGGTCCAAGAATTTAAAAAAAAAAAAAAAAAAAAAAATATATATATATATATATATATATATATATATATATGTTATTTTTTTATTATGAAATGGTAGAGAATCTTTTTCTGAAGGTAAAACAAAAAATACAAAATTTGATGGAAAATTGACGAAATTATGCTCTCGCGAATTTTGATGTGTAAGCGATATTTACACATCGGCGATTTTGCAGACTTTGACTCCCATTTTAGGCCAATTACATTATTCCAATTGACCAAATTCTTAGCTATTTCACTTGTATTACTTCTATTCTACCGATTGGGCACAAGAAATCACCAAGTCAACTGTTTCAACTACAAAATAAAGTGATCGGAAATTGGTAATTTGGCCAATTTAACGCAAAGTCCAAAATATTCCAATTTCAAAATAGAGTCCAGAATAAATAATGCAGGCATTCCTGGCACTAAAGTAACATTTCCTCTATTCATTAGTTACGTTTTCAGGCTTTACAAATGAATTCCATTTTGATTTTTTATTCACATAATGAATTATTATTCAAACCAAAAAATAGAAGATTTACTGTTATGCAATATTGTAGTAATTGTATAAATAATAATATCACATTTGTGAACATATATTAGACCCACCAGCTGGTGTGTATTAGACGTGCGAGGTCATTTGTTTACTCTCGAACATCGGCAAAAATTTAACATTTCCGCTACTTTGAGCTCAGTTTCAAGCCATTTCCAGTGCTAAAACCAATCAAAATCATCTCTATTTCTGAAATATATCTTCCGTTCTACCAAATGAGACCAAGAAATCGCAAATACAGCTATAAAAATCATATGAAAAAACACTGCAAAGTCGCTGTTTTAATTGAAAATTACGGTCTCAGTTTTTTCTATCATTATGCACTGTGTGCTACCTAATTTGTTTTATGTAGTGCACACATACCACATAGATGTATTCTCTCATATCTAAGCCCAAATTTACTGCTCACAGCTTATCAGGGCGAGCTGAGCTCATGGCGTAGATCTACAGTTTGGACCCTAAACTCAAAGCCGTAGAACTACGGCACAGACCCTGAAAGGGTTAACAACGGAGTTCTGTTCATAAGACCACATCGGTAAATGAATTCACCACTGAGGAGCATACTATAATGGTAGTGGGTTTGTGTTAACTATCTTTGATATTGTTTTAATGTCACCTTTACACCATTTATAACATTTTTAGTATATTTTTAAATGTTAATACAGTAGTGTACTGTATAGTGTAATAAACAGAGTAGAGGAAATCAGCTCTAATATACATTATTTAGGTATGCATACTGATCAGAGAGCCTGTCATAAGTCATAGTGGAGCCAGTGAGCCTACATGCCTAATTCCCATAGTTTTCCACCAGAGGCCAGGCCTCTCAGTGGGCATGCCAGCCTGCCCACCCCTGCCTCTCCCTCACTCACTCTGGCAGCTCACTTCACTCAGTCAACAAGGCCTACTCCTCTCTCCCTCACTGGGCATGGCCCTCCTGGGCCATGGTCACTTAACACACTGCCTGTGTACCCCACGACATTGCAAATAAAGAAGCCTCCGAAGCCTTATCATTACTCCCCGCTACCAAGAACCACCAATAATCGCGTAAACAATGGTGACAGAGGTGGTCGCAACGGTTGTGTTGCCCGAGGAGGGAAGGAAGAGGGATGAAGTAGCCTTCACTTCATCACCCCACACAAGAAGCATCCGTCTCTCAATGAGTTATCCTGATGTGTCTGCACGTTTCAGCATCCAAAACTTTGGGGGCCCAGTCCCTGGACCCATTACGTACCTCTGTAATCTGTAAATACCTTTGTAACTTGTCATGATTGTGACCAGACTTACCTGGAGTTCATTACCTTTGTAAATTGTGAGTTCATTACCTTTGTAAATTGTGAGTTCATTACCTTTGTAAATTGTGAGTTCATTACCTCTGTAACTTGCTCAGCTATCAAAACTTTGGAGTCCAGTCCCTGGACCAATTATGTACCTCTGTAATCTTTTGACTACCGCCCACAGGATGGGTATGGGGTGCATAATAAACATATTAAACTAAACTAAGACATAGGTACAAGCAGGATTTGGCCGAAATTTACCAAGTTTCTTGGAGAATTGTAAGTGGCATCCCTGTGACTCCACGCCACAGCATCCCACACTGTTCAAGTCAAATGTTCAGGGTCACTTGTATGTTGCTGCTGTTGGTTTTCAGCTCGGCACAGCTATTTCAGCAAGTGAGAGGTGAGTTTGTGGCGATTTCTGCATCCAATATGAGTGTTTCTCCCTGTGTTTGTGGGTGGGAAGAGGAGGAAGTGGCCGTTCCTTGCCTCATCCACGCTCACCCTGCTGTACACATCATACACTACTCGCCATTGCTCTCACTCCCTCTGCTGTGTTTTCTGCTGTTTTCCATGTGAATTCATTGCCAGAGCTGTGTATCCGAGTGCCCAAAGCCACATGGATCAGCATGCCACATAGAACACAAAGCCACGTGGATCACAAAGCCACGTACATCACCAAGCC